CGCTGCTGGGCTGTGCGGGCGTTTGGGTGCCCCTGCCCGCCCCTCCTGCCCCTCCTTAGGGTGATGTGACCCGGTCCCGCCGCAGGTGCCTGCCCGATGACCTCCGGGGTTTGTCCCTTTGCCCTCCCTGCCAGGGTGTCTCCCTGCAAGGCAGATCTGCTTAGAAGGGTCTCAGCACCACGGGTGGGTTCAACATGTGTGGGCTGTGGGCTGGAGCACCACTGGAGCTTAGGCTTGGAAGAACAGAGGCTCTCCTGGTGTTGGAGTTAGCTGTTCTTGCAAAGGTCCCAAAACCCAAATTTGAATAAATTACTTGCAGATGGTCTCAGCGTGATAATAGGGTGTGTATATATTGTCTCATGACTGTGGCAGGGAGTATTATACAGGTGACATCGGAACTTCTGTGTTATACAAGTCTGTGGCCTTGTGCTTCCTTTCCTATTCATGTTGCTGTCAAAGCTCTCCTGACCCAAACTGATCCCATATCTGGAATTTTGGAGTCTTATGCTGGAGCAAAGTGGCAGGAGGTCTTAAAACTTTTTGTCTTCACTCCAGCATGTAGAAGTGTTCTCAGTTCTGAGCAGCCTGGAGAGCTAAGTAACTTTTATTGCCTGTTTCTCAAGGAGATTGTTTGATCTGAAGTATAAATGGATCCTCTTTGGACTGGTGACCATCAATGCTTGAGCCTTTTCATTCTTTTCAATGGCTTTTGCTATCTTGGACCACACAGTTGCATGATTGTATCTCAGAATTATAGACTTTCCTGAGTGGTTATACTTGTGATCATTTCTCCTTTCTGTGCTGTTTAGGTGTCACTGCTACAGAGTGATGTTGAGTGGTCTTGTTTGGTCTTTGTTAGTGGAAATTTTTTTAGGTCCCTCAGGTGTTCCTCTGTGTCACATAGTAGGAATGGCTGGATTGGTTTTTTTTTTGTCTTCTGGATAAAGGATCATTTCCTATGCTATGCTCCACCACAGTAAGCTATTTGTATCAAGCTCCTGAGCAGATCGTTATCTCTTTTGAGATCTCCTGAGGGATTACACAGGACATTGTTGCTTTTATAGTGCAGTATGAAAAGGGTCTTTCCCCTCAATGCTCAAGTTAACTGCAAGGTGGTAGCTGTGGCAGAAAACTGCAGTGTATGCATTCCTCAACCATCTGATTAGCAATAGTTGGTTGTTTCTTTAGTTTAAGAACGTTTGATAGATTCAATTAGCATGGGCTGGTAAACCATTAAATTCATAGATTACTTCAGCCTCCATCACTTGTTTTCTCCTTAAACTATAGAGGTGACATGCTGACCTTGAGATAACTGGTAAACTGTCCAGTGCTTCTGTAGATCAGGTTAATAGTAACACAGCAAAAACATGTTATACTTAGAGAATGTGTTATTTTTATAGGACAGGAAATAGAAAGCACGTGACACCTATTCTCTTGAATTCTGTGTTGGCTCCACAGCCAGTTACACTCAATGCTGTTAGGTGAACTGATAGTTACTTAGATATTCCTCACAGCCCTGTTAGGTGATGCTCTGGTACAACACTTGAAATCAGAAAAGTTGCCTCTGCTGAAAAGCCTGCTGGCTCTCCCATATGAAGTCAGCAAGCAGAGGACTCTGAGGAGTACAAGGATTTGGAATTACTATTTACAGCTTATTTATGGTGTTGAAAAGGTAAAGTGGGGACCAGTATGGGTTTATGTTGGAAGATGTTTCTGAGGTTGACTGGATTCCGTATCCATACAGCATCTGTGAGGACTGAGATTCTCCTTCAGTCTACAGGTCCTACAGTCCGTGCTGGCACCTGGGCTGTGAAGGCAGCTGGGTGTCACTGCTCCTGCCCACACCTGTTGTTACAGAAGGTCCTATCATAACATTGATCCTACCTTGAGTTTGCATCTCCTCTCTGCTCTGAGATGACTGCTCTAGGTGACTGCCAGGGTGCCTTCCAAGCTAATTATTTCTGTGAGCTAAGAAAATGGAAGAAAGCAGGCAAAAAGCTGAACAAAACTGCCAGGTGGTTTCTTGTTGATCTTGGTTTCTTGTTTATCTTATGTTGACTTGTTTGTCCTTTTGCAGCCTGCCAGCGAGGATTCTACCGTCATTCCCTGGAGGCTAAACGCTGCCTGAAGTGCCCCCCCAACAGCTTGTCCGATGAGTCAGGGGCTACATCTTGTTCCTGCAACGCAGGCTTCTACCGAGCACCTTCGGAGGGCCAGAACATTGCCTGTACCCGTGAGTTGCAGATAGAAACAAAGAACAATATCTATACAGACTGGGGGATGAACTTACTGAGAGCAGCACTACAGAGAGGAACTTGGGGGTACTGGTGGGTGAAAAGTTGGACGAGTTGGCCATGTGTGCTTGCAGCCCAGAAAGCCAACTCTACCCTGGGTTGCATCGAAAGCAACATGGCCAGCAGGTCGAGGAAGGTGATTCTATTCCTCTACACTGCTCTTGTGAGACCCCACCTGGAGTGATTCATCCAGCTCTGGAGACCCCAGACCAAGAGACATGGACCTGTTGGATTTGGTCCAGAGGAGGGCCATCCCCCACTGGAGGGATGGAGCACCTTTCTTGTGAGGAAGGGCTGAAAGAGATGAGGTTGTTGAGCCTGAGAAGAGAGGGCTCCAAGGAGATCTTGTTATGGCCTTTCAACACTTAAGTGGACAGGGAGATTAAGATGAAGAAAGATTTTTACCAAGGCCTGTAGTGACAGGACAAGGGGCAGCGGTTTTAAAGTGA